CTTAATTGGGTTTAACAATATTTTTTTATAAAGATAATAATTAAATATTTTGTTAGAACTCAATAATTATCCTAATTATATTTTATATTTTTTATATTTTAAAATGAGATGTTTATCCTATATTTGATTATGTTTATTCACAGTTAGTTATACGAATTCAAATATAGAGCTTTAATAAGTTGTACTTATTCACAATTTACTTGTAATATTGAATTTTAAGTAATACGCATCAATAAACAGTATTTCATACATAAAAAAAAGGTTTTTAAGAGTTTTTTGTCAAATGTTTTATAATATATTAGAGATTAATTCTTTTGACCCTTTATATTTTTTTCTTGAATATTCTTTGTATCTTCATATTGAGTTATTTTTAGCTTTGTCTTCTTACATATGTTTCATCATTTTTAACCTTATTTAAGGAATTAAATTGAATGGTATTTAGATATAAAGCATTCAGTATTTCTTCTATAAACCATCTGACTCCATTTGTTTTGCATGTTGGGTTTAAAGTCACTAAAAATTTGAGTCATATCTTCAAAAAAAACAAATTGCATTAATTTCTCTATTTATGACCACAAAGTATTGTTTTGATATTTTTTGATCTTTTATTCGGAATAAATAATTGTGGTAAAAGCAACGAATCTTGACTGGTTTGTTTGGGTTTTAATTAGGCTTTGATCAGGTCTTAACTGGCGACTGGTTTTTGATTAATCAATTATTGATTTTGGTCTTTATCAGAACTTCTTTTAACCGCTTAATGAGGTTCAAAACTTATGACCAAAATGGGCTTTCGCTTATAACCGATCCTTTGGCTAGAACTTTTTCTTTATCGATCCAAAATCAGCTAATCGGGCGTTTATGCATCTCTATGTATAGGCCAAACGATATATATTTGCTAATTAGAGCAAATTTGTTGGATCGTTGTCATGTATTTAGAAAAATAGAAAGCAACAAATCGTACATTGAAGTTTTAATTGTGTTAAGACTATATTTTTGGTCGGAAAATCCTCATCCCTTCTCTCACATCCACGACGAAGAGAATCAAGTCCAATGCCCCTTCAACATATCAAATTACGAACCTTCTTGCTGTGATACAAAACATTTATCTCGACAAGATGTCACACTAAGGGGTCGTTTTGTTCGCGGAATTCTAAGGAATTTGATGGAATTGGAATGACAAATTCCTTTGACCAAATTCCAATTCCTTTGTTTGGTTCATTTCTTGAATGGATGGAATCTTTCAAATTCCATTGAATTCCACAAGTTAATGAAGTCATCATTCCTTGGCATAATGGAATGAATTGAATTCCATCACCATCTACCACGATCATGCTACTATTGTTCATGATGCCCCACCCTTAACCCCCACCACTGATGTCGCTGCCACCCACCCTACCCTACCCCMCCCTAACCATTATGCCACTACTGTTGTCATCACACCCACCCACCCTCCGGTCACTCACTACACATCCCTACTACGACTATGCTACTAACGTTACTGTCACACCCCTAACCTAACCCCCACCACCACAACATTATTGTCGTCGTCACAACTGCCACTCACCCTACCGCACTCTACCCTAACCACCACTAGCCACTAGGTCACTACTGTCGTCATCATACCCACCCACTCCCAATCACCCTGACCATCATCCCACCACTATCATCATCACAACTGTCACTTATCCCCACCTCCCTGCCCCTGTCGCCCTTAACCTAACCCTTCACCCCCACATTACTATTGTCGCCTTTACAACAGCCATTCACCCGCACCCCACCCTACCCCAACCCACCACTAAACACCATGCCACTATTATTGTCGTCATACCCACCCACTCCCTGGCCCCAGCCTCCCGACCACTATCTCACCACTAGCATCATCACAGCTACCACCCCGCCACCTACCCCTACCCACCCCACCGTCCTGCCTTGCCCCCACCCTACCTTACCCTACTATAACCCATCACTAACCACCATCCTACCACTGTAATCATCACAACTATCACACTGCCACCTATTGCCCCACCCCTGTCTGCCCGCAACAATCCCCACCTATGGAGCAGGGTAGGGCAGAAGTGGTGGGGGCAGGGCTGGTGATAGTTGTGACGACGACATTAGTGACATGATGGCTGGTAGGGTGTGGGTGGGGCGATGGATGGGATAGTCCATACAAAGATGATTGTTCCAATTTATATTGAGAGATTTCATTCAAATTCTAACCAACCAAACGCATGGTCAAATTTCATTCCAATTTTTTCAAAGTCAAATTCCTTTGATAGATTCCAATTCCATCAAATTCCATTCTGTGAACCAAACACCCCCTAAGAGTATCTCCAATGAGCATTAGTTAGAACTAGTACATTGAAAACACTCCCTACACTAATTTTTATGTAAATTACCACTCGTTGCATTAATTTCAAAGGAGTATGATTGGAGATGTTATAAATCAAAAATGATTTCTTTAGACTTGCAAACCAAATCCATGGCCTTTTTGAAGATTACCCACTTAACAAAATATGCTACTTTTTTTTTTTTCTTTTTTTTTTTTTTTTTTTTTTGTAAGGGTGTCCAGGCCAAAGCCCGACTAATCCCCGGCAAATTTGGAGGCTAAACATGGCCYCACTTAAATGTCGCCAACACTCCCYTCCCAGGGCTCGAACTCGGGTTCATGACTATGTCATACCCAAGCCTTTACCACTAGGCTGGAAGGTCTTTGATGACCAGAGATTGAGGAAATTCTTGTACAAGAATAAGTGTTAAATATTGAAGATAGAAGTCATGAATATATGTTGAAGGTATTTTCAATTGAAGTTTTACATTTTAATGGCAAGCAAGATGTTTTTAGACTTCATTTTAGTGATTTTAGAGCTGGAAGTTTTTCTTTTTCTTTTTATTTTTGTCTTTGTCACATTATTATCAAATTTAGTAAACTACAAATTTTGGCCCTTCAATTATAACATTTTTTATCTCTACAGTTTCAAAAATACATCGTGAATTGCTAAAGTGTCCAGATTTGGTCAATCTTTAACAACCGTTAAAATTCCCGCATTTTAGATTTTTCTTTTTATTTTATTGTCTTTAATACTATTGCTAGTTTGCTACTGAAGAGTCATTTCTAAAAGAAGTTACAGTCACACTTAGGGGTGTACAAAAAATCGTCAACCCATAAAACTCGTCCAGTCCAACCCGCTAACAACTCAATTAAACTCAACCCGCCTAACCGCCCACCCGCCTAACCGCTAACCCACCAATTAGGAGAGTTGAAATTGGCCCAACCCGCCCAACCCGCCGCTAATAAATAATTTTTATAAAAAATTTGTTTATATATATAAATGAACGTTCAAATAAAAACCACTCAATTTGTACAAACCATGAAAACCACATTCAACGATTCATAATTTTTCATTTTGTTCATTTTTTTGTAATTATGAGAGGTTGATTAACCATTTTTATTGTGGAGGGTGTTAATCATGGATATTATCATCTTCATTATTTTAATTTTAGAGAAATACATGAAACAGTTTCATTAAATTTCATTAAATATTATATGAAACAATTTCATAACCATATATGAAACAAATTCATCAAAAAAAATATATATTATATAAAACAATTTCACAAGATTAAACAATTTCATTAAAAAAAATTCATAAGTTTAAACAATGAAATCGACGTATGAGGATGGTTTGTACAAATGAGGATAGTTTTCATTTGATCGCTCATTTCTCTCTCTCTCCCCCTCTATATATATATATGTTTATTAATGTATAAATTTTATATAATTTTTATTGATATTATGTTTTGTTTGATTTTAGCTAAACGTATAGGTTATCAAAAGAGATTTACGATCAAAAAATGATAACAAATAATCTAATTAATTAGAAAAATAATTGAAATCTTTTTTTTAATTAACCTAGATATCCAACCCGCCATGCAAGCTGACTAATCCCAGTGCGACCACCTACTTTGCAGATAACCCGGAGTCACCGCATTTGAACCACCGTAGCCACAAGAGAATTTTTATTCCTCCTTGAATTTGAACCTAAGACCTCCTATTACTTTTGACCTTTGGAGCCAAGCTCAGACCAATCAGGTACCACCCTTGTGGTTATTGAAATCTTTTTTGCAACAACAAATTGATATGTTTGAAAATATGAATAATATTGATAGATATTTGGTTGACGAATTCATCAATCTATTTACCCCATCATTTTATGTTGTACTTTAGTGGGAAAAAAATGCTCAATTATAGCACTTCTCTACAACATTATATCTTATAGGATGCCTAAAATGTCAAAACGTCATAATTGGGTTGGGTTGTAAAAATATTGTAAACTGCCCAACCCAACCCACCCCACCCCACCCCACCCCACGCCACGCCACGCCACGCCACGCCACGCCACGCCACGCCACGCCACGCCACGTAGACCCCTAGTCACACTTGAACAAATTCACCAAAGAGATCTCAAAAAGACTTCGCTAATTAAAGATGATTCAACAGATACAAACAAAACAAAGCAACAGTAATAAGATGATCTGAATCACTTGGGTGCAATACAAATTCAACGGTTACCTGAATTGACCAAAAAAAAAACTAGCTATGCCCCAATTTGCTGGGATTTGTTGAGAATTACTCCCTCATATTTCACCTGAAACCACTTCATTGAATCCTCCTTTGTAACTCTATGTTGGATACCAACACGAGCCTTGCACCTGCGCCTACGACCAACACGATAACCTGGCCGTTCTAGTACCACAAAGAAATCCATACCATAAATACCAGTCGATGGATCGTACCTGTAATAACAAAAACATTTCAATAACTATACTTCACTTTTATCATAATAACTATTGAAAGATGGATCAATTTGAATAGTCTCTGTTTTGATGTCTTATAAGAGTGAAGGAAACATTGGCTTACTTGATACCCAGATCAATATGTTCCTGAATACCAAATCCAAAGCAGCCAGTGTCACTAAAGTTGCGTCTTAGAAGCTCGTACTCCTTCACCTTCAACCCGCTCTCTAGAAGCTGCATAGCCTTGTCTCCCCTAACGGTCACATAGCATGCGATCTTCTCATTACGCCTGATCCCAAATGACCTCACGGTGTACCTTGCTGTACCAACCAATAACGAGAGCATAAATAAGCCAAATTAGTATTTTGTGAGCTTGGAATAATAATCCGTATGAGATCTGCTATGCTAGATACCACAATCCATTTAAATTAACACATACAGCAATGATCATTTGAAAGCAAGTTTGAAGGTATTACTCAAACAAAAAATCATCTTTTCAAATGATCATTTGCAAAAGCTATAATTCAGAAAAAGTTAATTGCAGAAAAGACAGAATTTTATTTTAACTCTAGTTAAGACACTGAACAAAGATATGTGCATATAAATCCACTTCTTTCATGTGTCTTCTTCCCCCAAAGACTGGATGACGGGTTTAACAAAAATATGTGGACTTTTTACTTCAACTTATACTTTATCCTATGTGGAAAACAAATATGCACTATTAGAGAGAGCAAATTGAAAAAAACAGTAATGTTGAGGAGATGGCAGACAAAAGACACTTGCAAACAAATTCTCAACCATCTTCATGATGAAAAGACATACAATGTCAAAAATCAAGAAAATGCCATCATGTCTCCAAATCCAAGATATACCTCCCAAACAAAATGATTGTCCTTTCTCTCTGTGTATACTTATATGTATATGATGGCACAATTTAGCTTCAATAGATTTATTGGCTATTTGGTTCAAGTAAAATCAACAATCAACCAGTACACACAATCCTAGGAAACTTGGATGACTATTGATATTTGTAAACGAGAAGAAAAAAACAAATGTTCAGATACACAACCAACACCAGACACGTTCAAACACACGGACTGGTTTTCTTTCGAGTTTAAGAAGGCATTAGGGATAATATGTTTGCGGTAGAAATTAGATTGGGATGTTTGATGTTTCACAAGCCATCTAGTTTCTTGAAAGGTGAAATACAAAATAAGCATCATTGCTTTATATGACAACTTCTGTAGTTTGGGAGCTAAAATTCGATTTCAGAGCAATGTTTAATTGTTTTTTTACATAAACTACAGCAGTTGTCACAGAACTACTTACCAAGTAACACTTCTGCTTTTTATCTCTAGAATTCACAGATCCGACATTGAACAACTTTTTTTTGCACACAAGAAGAACCAACTTAACAGCTCCCTCAATATGGTACTAACAGTAAACATGTTTAAAAAGAAAACGAGTCATTTTTCCTTCTTTCATCTTCTTCGTTTTCCATCATTTCATTTGCAAACATTAAATAAACAGAAATAATTATACAGAACCAAAATTAAACTAAAAATCAAATCCTATTGTTGCTCCTCTTCATCTTCTACATCTTAAACTCAAAAAATAACACACCCAAGATTTGAGGCTTTCCATCTTTACTGTATATCAAAGATCAACTATCAGTAAACTATGTAACCTAAATCTCATTTAGCCCAATCTTAGAGGCTATATTCTTTATCTCCATGAACAATGTAAAGAATCAATTAATCTTAATAAGTTTCTTCCGCTTTGGCTACTTTCTTGTTCCAGAATTAGTACTGTTGATTGATCAAGTAAGTGGACATGTATCAGACTGTCCAAGGAGATGTTTTTGACAGGTTTTGAATAATTATATGCAAAATCATTAGGTGGCCAAACTGATTAAGAAACTTTGTGTGATTTAGTGCACAATGCAAAAAGACGTTTGATAAGTGTTTTTAATAGACAGCTGAATGACCATAAGAATCATTTTACCCTTTCAATGGATGGTTTGATAAATCTACCTATTTATACATTAATAAGGTTTTTTAATTTTAGTTTGTCTAATTGAATATATAGGATTTAGATAAAAAAAAATTAAACTCAAAAAGTTAACCCCTAAATCGAACACCCTGACTCTTCTCTCTTCTCAATCTCCTCCAAATGAGTAAACCAAAAAACTAAAAAACCTAACAACAACAAATCCAGTCTAATTTGCACTTCAAAGATTGGGGGTTTCAGAAAAGAAAGCAAAGCAACAAGCAGTAGCAACTGGGAAGTCAAGATCAGATAGTAGATCGAGATGTCAACAGATGACGTAGCTATAGCTGAAGAGAGTAAATGTGGAATATTGAAGCACTGAATGAGGCACCATATCCATTGTCCCAACTGATTCAGAGGCTTCATGATGACCTAGTTGGATAGTGCCTTTCATTTCTTACCAAACACCACCAACATCTAACCGAACCAGATGGTGGGTTTGAATCAGATGACTCAGGGAGCAAACAAACAGCCTCTAAGTCATTAGAGAGTCTACTGAAAATATGAAAACTAAGTTTGGGGTTTGCAATGAAGAAGACAAATCATCCTTCAAACTATATCATCCTATTTTCTTGTCGGTCTTAATTTGGCTTCAATACAGACCATTGCGACGTCAACAACATTGCCAATGTAGACAGTTTTCATTATTTGACTTAAAAGTCCTTTGATTTTTGGTTTTCAGAATGAAGATAATTACAAGACGAAGAACATCGTTGAAAGTAAAATGAATGTTTTGACCTTTATAAACGGTTTCTTCACAGTGCTTATTGCGAGGGGATTAATCTGCAAAATGTCTTGAACATGAGAATTTAAAAGACAAATGAGGAAACTATCACTTGCAAAATAGTCTGATGACAACTGCTGTTTTTTATCAATTCTTTCCATAGCAACATCCATTGTAATGTTGATACTTGTATTTTTTAGAAACTATTCTCTTTCACCCAACTAATGGAAGAACATATGTTCACAGGTCACTATATATGTTAACGCACTAATATGCAAGCCGTAGAAAACGCATTCCTGTAATATGTTATGCAGGATTCAGTCCAACTTAAACTTTATTTACTTCACACGATCAAATATGGCATTTACAAAACTCTCCTCAAGTAAATTATCAGTATGCAATGTTTCTAGACAATAAGCTGTCACCAATGAAGACATGTGGTATTTAATTTCTTAATCAAATACAGTGAAAATAGTTTAATTTCAAAACCAAGAAATAATAAGGGATTCCCAATTGAAATTCAACTAGAAATAATGTACATTAAAATAAATAAGTAGAACATAAGAAACGCAAGCAATAAAGGTTCTAAGATGCATCTTACCCTTGGAAAAGACGGGGGACTGGCCACTCAGTTGCTCCAAAACCTAACAACCATTAATCAAAACAATAAAAGAAATCAGAAAGCTCACACCTTAAACCATACATACATACATATATATATGTATATATATATATATATATAGAGAGAGAGAGAGAGAGAGAATCGACCTTGGCAGCGCGAGTGAGACGATCTCCGCTCTCACCGACGGAGATATTGAGGACGAGTTTTTGAACCTTAATCTCTCTCATTGGATTCGATTGCTTCCTCTCTGAAGCCTGCAATGCAAAATTCATTGAAGAAAATCATCATCCAAAACAGATAATAGTAAACCCTAAGTAAAGAAATCATCATTCATTCATATGAGGGTACCATTGCTGCTGCTGCTGCTGCTGCTGCTGCTGCTGCTGCAAACGATAACGGCGGTGGAGATGGGTGGGAGTGGGGGAGAGACAGAAAAAGGGTTTTATTGTAAAGATAATCAGATCTGCTAGGGTTTTGTATTGTATTAATTGAATGATGGAAATTCAGAATGACGTGTTTACCCTTGCGATACTATAAAAAAAAATTGTTGCAACAAAATGACATCTATTTTTATCTTCAAAATAATTTCAAAATAATAAAATAAAATAATAAGATTGGAAGTTTAATATTATCTATACTATATTATACTAGTTATATATCCGTGTAATATTACGGGATATAAAATATTCATTATAATTTATTTAATTTTAAAATATCAAATCTTTTGAAGATGTCATAAACTCTACTACATTTGTACCTATGTTAGATTCAAATAACTCATCCATCCAAAACGTTGGTGTTGGTAGCTTTTGCAATCATCCGTAAAAATAGAACAAATCTTCTTATAGAATGTCTATAATAACAAATCCCCTTTTAAAATAAATTGATGGTTTAAGTAAATTTTTTTGGTCATGCCTACTCCAAGTCAATTTTTATTCAAGGAGATATTTCTTTAAACACGTGGAGTGAGTGTATTATCACTTCTACATATCTTATAAATAGGACATCTTCTTCCTCTCTTTTGAAAGGTAAGTGCCCATATGAGTTTGTTTACGGCTTTCAACCTGTCTTTACTCATCTTAGAAATTGTGGATGTTTGTGTCTTATTGTAAAACCTAACATCACAAATAAATTCAATTCTAGATCTGAAAAATGTATCGTATTAGGATATGCAAATTCACAAAAGAAATACAGACTATAGAGTTTGGATTCAAACAAAATTATTGTTTCTCGTGATGTAAAAGTTTTACGAGAATGTTTTTCCATTCAAAATGAGTATAGACACGGTAGATAAGTCTAAAACTAATGATGGTAATACTTCAAATTTATTTGATTCGTTTTTTTGGTACAACTAATAACTATTAATTCACCAACCAATGATGAGAATAAAGACCATCCTCATGATCAGGATCTTCATCAGCCTTTCCCTGCCCCTAGTGACCGTAGCCTCTTAGGTAGCCCAAGTAGAGTTTCTAGTAGGCAACCTCTAGGCAGGTCTAATACTCCTAATAATCAAGGTTCATCTGATGACAATAGTCTTGAAAGAGTTACCATTTGGCAGCCTTTGCTCTGAAGTGGCTACTAGTAAGTAACTAGATGCTAAAATGTAGTCTGTAGCAAATAGTAGAGATAACAGCGATACTCAAATTTTAGGTCTCAACTCTGAGGGTAACCAAGTTTTACTTTCATCATCTTAGTCTATTAGAAAATCAACTAGGGTGTCGAACTTTTCTCGTAAATTTGATGACTTTGTTGTTGAGGGAAATGTTAAATATGGGTTGGAAAGAGTTGTGAATTATTCTTGTCTTGATTTTTGAGGATTTTTCCTTTGTTTCTTGTCTTAATAAATCTGTTGAGCCATAGACTTTTCAAGAAGCTTATAGTGATAATAATTGAATATCTGCCATGAATGATGAGATGGAAGTTTTACATAGACACGGAACTTGGATTGTTATTGATTTACCTCCTAGTAGGAAACTATAGATTGTAAGTGAATTTATAAAATCAAATATAAATCCACAGGAGATATAGAAAGGTATAAGGCCATAGGGTTATAGTCAAAGAGAGGGTCTTGACTACGAAGAGACTTTTTCTCATGTAGTAAAAATAGTCACTTTGCAATGTATTATTGCTTTAGTTGTTCAATTTAAGTGAAGTTTGTGTCAATTGGATGTTAATAGTGCTTTCTTATATGGTGACTTGTCTAAAGATGTTTATATATCATTACCGAAAGGTTATCATAGTCCAGGAGATAAGTGTATCTGTGTGTGTATGTTTGTTAAATCTCTTTATTATGGTTTAAAACAAGTCCCACGTTAATGATATGCTAAGATTTCTTCTTTTCTTGTTGATCATGGTTTTACTCAAAATATTAGTGATTATTCTATTTTTATTAAAACTTTTGGGTCTGTTTTCCTTATTATTAGTTTATGTTTGATGATATAGTTCTAGCTGGTAATAATCTGGATGAAATAAATAAAGCAGACTACTTGAAAAGTAAGTTTCGTATTGATCACTTGGGAAAATTGAAGTTCTCTTTGGGAATCGAAATTCTAGATTGTGTTGATGGTGTGTGTATGTCACGAAGAAAATAGTGTCTGGAATTGTTAAATGATTTTGGATATCTTGGATGTAAACCATGTAGTGCACCTATGGATATGAATTTGGTTGTGATCAATTCAAGTAGCTCTAAAGGTCCTCCTTTATCTGATTTTACTAGTTATCATAAATTGATTGGTAGATTGATTTATCTTTGGCTACTTGTCTAGATATTGCATTCGTTGTACATTGTGTTAGTCAGTTTATTGCATTTGCTCTGGGATTTTTAAATCCAATGTTTGTGGGATTTCAATTCCAAACTTTTCTTTAGTCTAAACACGAGATTGAAATGAAATCTAATTTCATATCCCGCAAACCAAATGGGCTTTTCAGGTCACATTTATTTTGCGGATTTTATAGGTTTGGAGGGTTTTTAGAATTGAACTCCATATAAATCTTATGTATGGTTTGAAAGAATGTTTGGATTTGAAATCTCAAGATTTCATTGAAATCTCACAACATGGGATTTAGAAATTACATCAGGATAATTAATATTTGCTAGGATTTGTTTGTATTAATGTTTTTAAATATATTAAAAGAATTTGTTTTGTAATATTCAATCAATAAAAAGGATAATTTGATTAATTTTATAAGTTTTTAGAATTTCTTTTATATATTATTTAATAAAAAATAGAATTCGGTTATTGTGCTAATTAAACAGTCTGAATGTCATAAATGAATATTTTACCCCCAGTCTTTATTTTTGTCTAAATAAAAGAACAATTTGATGAAAATGTTGAACAAACGACTTATAATTATAAAAAAAAATATCAATTTAAAAGTTTTTTAAATAAAAACAACTTGATTAGCATAATTATATGAGTTAAATGTTATAATCAAAACAACATTAATAAGTCTTTATAATAAAAACAAGTCAATATCATAGTTTGGATACAATTTAAAATATCAAACATTTGAAACTAGTCCATTTACAACCCATTGTGATCCACATAGTTCCGCTTCCCCACTTCCAACATTTTCTTCTTCATTGGTGAAAATGGTGTCTTCGTTGTACTGCATGAAAAGTTTATCTTGAATATTACATTTTCTTATAAAGTTGTGTATCGCGAAGCAAGTAATGACCACATTTCTTTGTTTTGTAGATGGAAAAGGAGTCATTTGCTTCAAGATTGGGAATCTAGCTTTCAAGACACCGTAAGCACGCTCAATGACATTTCGAAGTTGTGCATGCACATGATTGAACTTTTCTTCTTTAGTTAAAGCACGTCTGCGTCGATAATTTGCTAACCAATACCTCATGTTACGACACAGAGCTAAAATTCCACGAGCGATGGAATATGTAGCATCACAAAAATAATATTTATCTGCATGCAATAATTGATTAGGCAAACATGCAAACATTATTTCAAATTAAACATGTTCGATGTAAGTGAAATGATGTATACTTTCAGATGGAAAAGGAAAACAAGAATTTGGGTTAAATGCAACTTCGGTTAGCACTATAGAATCATGTGCAATGCCTTAGCATCCTGTCCAAACAAATGTGAATATCATATTGAAATCACAAATGCCTAGAACATTTTGGTAGCATCGACCACCTCTTCTTCCTCTATATGCAGTTTGATGACTAGCAGGCACGACTGCAGGTATGAGTATCTTGTCTAGTGCACCAATTGCATCCTTCATTGATGAAAAAATGTTAAAGATTAACTATAAAAAACTATAAAAGCAAAGCTTACTGGAAATATCTCTTTCAAACGACTTTGCCGATTTGACATAATCTTCGTGTTTGTTTCAGACGCTGATGGACAGACAATTTCTCTTGCAAACTTCATCATTCCCCATAGAACTTCATGAAAACAACTATGGACAGTGTCGATGGAATGTTGAAATCTTCGTTTGATCACTTTATAACGTTCGTTATGTCCGATCATTGTAAAAAACATAGCTACTTTCTCCTCGACACCTACAATTCTACCATCTTTTACCCAACCCCTTTGTTTAAAGTGATTGCATCGCAATACATATGCTTCACGAGGCATACACATCAACTCCTGACATTGCAAACTAGATCCATATAGCAACTCTTGTTGTATGCATATCCACTCATAGCTGAAGTGTTATCTCATACTCTCTCGATTCTTGTTGAAGAATTCCTTCTTCGTCTTACATACCAAAATAATAGAGTTACGAATAAACGTTCTTCCTTGTAAGTCAACATATCTAAAATTGCAAACAATAATCGTAAATCAACTTGTAAACATCATTTATATATCTAAAATTGCAATAATTATCGTAGAACAACTTGCAAACACCATCCAAATATCAGAAAAACCAACTTGATAACATAAAACCTAATATCATTAAACAAACCATTCCAAATACATCAACGGCCAAAAAGAGTCATAAGTATCAACCAAAAAGCCATTAAAAATGTATCATAAACATCAACAAAAAAAAGCCATTGGAAATGTATCAGCATCAACAAAAAACAAGCATAATCCTAAACATCAATGGCCAAATCGACAACCACCTACTTGTAGCCTTGTTTATCTCCAACCGTCTTAACCCAATCAACCGCAGATTCGGGCGGTATCATCAACCATGGCTCTCTATTGTCCTTGTCATCAAGAAGAGCCATTGCAATACGGTACAATGGACCATCTTTTGGCCATCCAAGTTCATTGAGTTTTTGAAGACAAACCATGTAAGAAGGAGGCTCAACACCATCGGGGTTCCCATGTTTTACGGCCAAAGCTCTTTAAAACTGACAAAATCTTCTCATCTATGTCAGATTGGCTAACTTTTCTCTTGTTGGTTCTCACTTGAATACGAGCTGAAGACACGGGAGTTGAGAAGGTGGGTTGGGAATTAGAGATCTCCACT